AGACAGTTCTTTTAATCATTGGAACTCTTCAACTCCAGAGAAAAAGACAAAGTTCAAACTTGTAACAAACTAAATTTATCCCATAAGATACCCCTATCGTATGATAATATATATTGATCATTATCCTGTGGGGAGCCCTCGATTAGCAATTTTATCTACCTGAGAGCTCGAATTCGAGTAGTACCCGGGAAGTCACAGCCAAGATTAAACCTATTTGGCTTGTTCTGAAGTAGCCGGGGCGGGTGCTCAAAAGTACATCTGGTATTTACGGGAATGAAAATATAATTTGTAAATATGTTTATATAGTTTGAATCTACACATTTAGTATGGTTGTTTTTCACTATTTCCCCCAGGGTCCTATTTCCTCGGGTTTTCGTCCCGTTTCTAAAATGACACAGGTCTTGGGCGGGGTACTTAAATTCCATTGATACAATGCCAGTCCAGGGCGAGAGGGAGAGTCTTGATTATGCAGCTACAACAGTACATGTAAGACAGAGTCAGATACGGCAGTCCTAACGGACAACTCGGGACCAGCATTTAAGGAAGCTCTAAACACTAATGAAAAATGCTTTTTGGACTTTGAGAAAAACATAGCATATAAAGGTGCACATATTCAGTGTATCTAGTTCATTTTCAACATAGGGTACCTGCCTTATTTCTGCAGAAAAATTGTTCAAAGACAATGAACTATTTGTGAACAGAAATCACTGTTGTTTACTTGCATCGGGAAAAATTAATGGAAACAAGGTATTCAATTACTTAATCTTGGTCTAACATAACATTTAGAATACTTTAATTCATAAGAAATTGTGTCATTAATTGTAGATTCCCATTTATTCTATTTTCTTCCAAGGGCAGGTCACTCTAACTCAATAAAAATACCCTACAAATAGAACCCTTTAGTGTGCAGTGTTTAGAGCTTCCTTAAAAGCTGTGATAAAAAGAATTCAACACTTTGAAAATTATATTGATTAAATCCAAAGATAATCCAAACAGCATTGTGAAAGTTTAAGAAACAGTGATTTGTGTGCTATTTGAGAATTTATATTCAATTTGATTTATGAAAAAATACGTGTGAGGAAACTTTAACACCAAAATTCTAAAAATGTTAAACAGAGGTGTTGTGATCAGTTAATCACTCTTTCCTGGACACTTCCCAGTACGGTCTGCAGAGAGACATTTCATTTCAATTATTTTTATTAATTTTGTTGTAAAAATTTACTTTTGATTATTAAATTTTGTTAAAATTTCAGTTTATTGTTTCCTTGATTTATTCGGGTTCTAAAGGTGTATAACTCACATCTCAACAAAATTTCTTTGCGTATGTCCTTACTTGTAACATGATTATATACTGTAAATTACTGATTGAATATTTGTAAGATAAATGAATGAAAACTTGAATCCCTGATTTTAAAACCTTAACTTTAAAGTTTCAGCACAAAAAGTGAAGTAGCGTCAGTGTTCTGTGTAAGATGTAAGCCAATAACAAAGTTTATAAGTTTTTTGAAAAGTTTATTAAACTACCGTGATCGTATAGATTTTTAAATGCTAGTTTCTGAAATCTCATCCGAATAGACCAATACACTGGTTATAGCAAAAGTTTTAAAGATCCGTCCCAAATATTTCAGAAGAGCGTAGAACTAAAACTCCAAAGTAACAATCAAGGTGATGTCCGAAAATTAGAGTCCAAAATGTAATCGAAAGAATATTCCAAACGAGAGTCGATAGATGTCAAAGAATAGTCAAAAGAAAGAAAGAATTGAAGAATAGAATACCGTTTTCCGACGAAACAGGGTATTTTGTGCTCAGAGGGTATTCATGGTCCCCGATATAAAAGTAACTTTTCATTGGCTGACTTAATATATTGCCATACCACCTACGCTTAGTCCGTAGGTCTATCCGTTGAACGATGAACCCCAACATGGCATCGCCCTATAATCCAGGTATACCTTCATTAATAATATTTATGGACTCAGTCTCCATCTCTGCACCACAGGAGTTCTAGCCCTAGGCTCTTTTACTTATCTGCTTCAAAGTTCCCAATTTTATTACTCTTAATCAAGAATCTTTATAGTAACTTTACATTTCCGTTCAAATTTCATTACTGTCACCCGCGTGGCGCAATGTCTGCTCTAGAGTCGCAAAGTAAGGAGTTGATCCTTACGTCGCGGGTTCGAATCCCACTGTGGGACGTGGAGACCGGTCCTTCGGATGAGACCCTTTAAACCTAGGTCCCGTGTCGCAGTAGGTGCTGGCACGAAAACGATCTCTCACTGCTAAGTGCCGAGCATAGGATTAAATTTGCAGCTCTCCACCGGCAAGTGGTGGCGTCTCCATATGAGTGAAAAATTCTCGAGAGGGATGTTAAACCAAGCAAATTTTATTACTTAGTATCGATGGGCTTGATTGGTCTATTCTGAAAAATTCTATTACAAATGAGTTTACAAAATTATAGTTCATTGTATCAATAACAATATCCAATTTGTTCTAACAATATAATTATAGTTCATGATGTTAAAGTCTCTTTTCCAATTATAAAATCACTGCATGTGGTATACACAATGTACACCCCTGTTTAACAAACTTTTATTTTATTTTACTTTCGCTATTATTAACTAAAATAATTATGTTATGAATATACTCCAAGTTTAAAATGTTCAGATAAAATGTCCATTCTAAACCCTTTAGGTTTACAAAGATATAATTTCGTTAGATTATAGTGGAATTGATAAATACGTATATAAACTAGCTGAATGAACAGACAACCAACCCGATAACAAATAAAACTACCGATACATGTGTGTCCTTATGAGAAAAAGGCACCATTTTTCTGTCAAGAAAATATGGTATCTAAACTTCCTTCAAACATTCTATACTTATTAAGCACTGAAAAATATATTTCATTGTGTATTCTTTTAGTAAGTGTTTTTCAAGAATAACGTCCACATGTGTAAATTTACTGACTGTTGAAATAACTTCAGGCACTAAATGTACCGAATTTTTCGCCCCCTTTGATTCAAAATAGTAAATAAGTAAACTCTGCATCTACATGTTTATACATATACATTTATCAACGTGTTTGTCAAAGAGATGACTGTTTCTCCAATTCTAAGAAAAATATGTTCCAATTTTTTCTCAACATGCAAACATTATATATAACTTTTGTATCAGAATCAGTTAGTCATTTAAAAAGAGGAAGTTAGTAAGCTATCATTGTTTATGCATTAAGAAAATAAAAACATGTAAATAAATAAAGTCCATTTATCCCCTCCCCTCCCCGTGTAATTAAACTTGAATACAATCTTGCATTACATTCTATTAATAGAAAAATAAGTAACTTCCTCACAATATTCAATATCATGTACTCAGAGCAAATAATATGACTACTTGCACATAAGTTGCGCGCTGTTTTGGTATAAAAGTAAAAAAAAAAAAGATTATCTAGAATCGATTTTTGCAACTTTTGTTCTTCGGGTCCTTTATGCTTGAGCAATTGTTTTGTATAGTGACACATTAAACTGTATATACCCTGTAACTTTAACACAATGATTAATAAATAAAAAAAAAAAACAGTTTACTAAATGAAAGCATTGCTTCAGATCTAAAAGACCTTGTTGCAGTAGTAATTTAATATAACAACGATGTAAGACAAATTAGTTTCTAGTCTTATTGACAATCGTCAAACTCGCACAAATAATGTGCAGGTATCTTTTCACTACATTTCTGATACCTAATTTTCCGAGACTGAGTATGGTTAGAAGTCAGAAAGAAACAGCAAATTCCCACATGCCCATCTATGGGTTGGTCGTCGACAGTAAAGGGATGTATTAGAACTTCAAGAGAACTTTTACTTCGTATTTCCAGCTGGCTATGTTGCCATTTAAGAAACCTGCCACTCGGAATATGTTTTCCACCAATCCATGTGAGGAAATCATTTCCTGCAAAAGAGAAAGTGGATATGATAAAATTTTCATTCATAAGGTCTGTCCATATATTCGTCAAGCTATTTTTCTTCCCACTTGTTATGTTCAAGGAGCTGTAAATGTATTTTAATAAAATACTAGGAAGAGATCTCCTGTACAGTTGTATCTTGCAATGAGAAAGAATTGAACACAGCATAAATTCAACCATTGCTCATAGGCAAATACTGTACTTTTACAATAACGAACAAAGTGTTTGAAATAAATATCAAAATTCGTAAAAAAAAAAAAAAAAAATCCTATAAAATTTGAAAAAACCCCATCTATTTCACATCTGGATATTTAACCAGAAAAGACATTAATGGCAAACAAAAATGGGATGCTAACTCCTCCTTGAGACCTGATCCCATCTCTGATGTTTAAAAAAAAATTGTGTTTGCTCAGAGGGCTCAAGGCTTATTATAATAGTAATCATGCCAACATTTGGACTGCTTGGTGTCCAGAAGTGAAGAATATGATTTTTAAAGCTTGCATTAATTTTGATGCTTTTGGTCCCATCCCTTAGGCTCCAATAAGGTAGGGGCCATGAAATTCACAGTTTCTGATTCCTTTTAACTGTAGATGCTAACTCCCAAAAAAAGTTTAAATTGGTTGAGTGGTTCGAGAGAAGATTAAAATTGTTCCAATGTTAACGGACAACTGAAGACGCACGGCGCACGCTAAAGGACAAAAACAGATAGCAATAGGTCACCTGAGTGAATCTGGGACCCCAAAATAAATTATCTTATGTACTTACCTATGTATTCTCTCAAGATAAACCGGAATTCTTTGTTGGATTCAATTTCTAGAAGGTATCCTCTCCGATTCTGGCAGTATTCCTGATTTGAGATTTATAATTGAGATAGGAGATCATATTCAGGTAGGTTAATGCCTATAATTTCTTCGAGGATAGAAAAATGCACAAAGGTCTCTGCTATAACATTTCTGATTTTCAAGATATTATGTCTAGAAAACAAAGATATATGGGTACAATAATGAACCATTCAGTTCATTTCTGTAGTTAATATAAATATCCAACGATTAACACACCTGGGAATCACTGTACGTTTTAACCGTTGTATTTTTCTGGTATTTGTAGAAACATCTCTGAAGGGTTTCTAAAACATAAAAAAATGTTTCTTTCGCACAATAGCTGTGTTACTGATCAATCGAAATTAATTTTTCAAATTTTTGCAAAAAGTCAGCCGATTTAATTAATCTAAAAAAAGGTATACTTTCACAAGTTATATTTAAGTCACTCCAGGATCCGTTCCGCAGACACTCTACCCTTCCGTCCCCTATCTGATTATATCCGTCAACACAAGACAGGTTATATCTGGTTCCTAAATCTGCAGCAATATCGGAGGTGAAATTCTTGACATTCTCTGGTAGAGATAAGTTTTGAAGATGGCATTCTAAAGGAACAAAATGAAAAGATAAATTCTAGAAAAAATACTCAGTACAGAACCATAAAATTGTAAAAGAGAAAAGAAATATCCCTAGACCTCGCAAAGAAGTCTTACATTTAAATAAACCACACCCCCGGGTGACCTTTCAAAGTTAAGTCACCATAGATAAAGAGATAATGATATATCTGATATATAATGAAATAATGATATATAATGAAATAATGATATATAATGAAATAATGATATAGATTTATTAGATCTTTAGAAAACAAAACCAAAATGGAATGATTCCAATCTATCTTTCATCATTATCTGCAATCCTAAAACCATAATTTTCTGAATTCTGCAAAAATAGTTTATTTTCAACCCGCTTTCGTGTCCTCAATTCCCCATATTTTGGAGAAAAATATTGTTATTCTATCATAAATACATTTATGTACTATTATTTTGCCCCTATTCTGACTTTACCCTAACTCCACAGGACACGTTTTTATCGCTTTAAATTTTTGGAACGTATAAATGATTAATTGGTTCATGTCCCATATTTCTCCAGTGATATTGCTTGATTAAAATATTCAATATTAATTAGTCCTATAGTGCTAAAACTTTTTAAAGAAGATTTAACCTCTACTAACAATTTGGATCTGACTATTTAGTTTGCCATCTTCAATTTGAACACCCTTTTTAAGAATATTTTATTAAGATTGTATTAAGAACCCCCATCCATTCCTGAAAATTAAAGGGGGGGGGGAGGGCGATTATGAACATCTCTGCTCTCTTTCTCGAGATTTAGATCCCTTTAGTGTACGCGGCTAGGATAAGGCTGTCCGAACAATGTCACAGTGTACCAGCCGTAGTAACTTCTCTGAACTACCTAGATATGACGTCATAATGGCATATGACGTCAAGTCACTGCATATCTGAGCTGAGATGACTGGGAAAGTGTCATAACTTTTACATACCTTTCACATCACATGTAGAATTTTTTTACGTTGATGTTTAATTCACGTGTCTGGATTGTTGTTTTAAGGTATTCAATGTATAATGAAGGGATTTTGAACAATTTTGAATCATTTTAAACTAGTTAAAAATGCATTGCTAGATAACGATGAAAGTGTAATGAACCAAATTCACATTACTGACAACTTATAAGAAGCTGGTCATTTTGCACTTAAAAAGTTTTTGAAGAGTTATCTGCCCTTGATGCAAAGAAGAAAATTTTAATTTCCTCAAAATATCTGCGGTAAATGATTAATTTTATTTCATATTTTAACAAAGGGAGAGTGTATGCATATTTTCACCAAGAGCTTTTAATGAAATTCAAATTACATTTTACAATATCTTAATATCTTAATAACACGTGCATTGCCCATAGACTTCAATGTAAAATTCAAGGTGCAATTAATTTGACAATAATCAAAATTTAGCAAATTTCTTTGGTGGAGTATTTTTATTTCATAACACCTTCAAAATGATACTATAATTACAATTATAGGACCGTACATTTATTAGATACAAAATATGGTCGTTATACATTGAATACCTTAAGGCTGTTATGATGGTAAATATTTGCAGTATAATATCGTTATGACTTTTTCTTGTCTAAGTAATATGACTGTACGTATTCAAACAATTGAAAAAAAAAAGAATGTGAAATGCCCCCCTAACGTGTCTGTAGACAGAGTTAGAATCTATAAATCTTATATATATTAGACTGGCACAAGTGAATAATAAGGATTAATTGAAGATATTTTGTGTGAATCTTCTAGAGAAATATGTCCTCTAACTGAATTTTTCTGGGGGATTGTATGTAATATATCCTATTTTGTAAAAATTGCGATGAAGAGTGGAAAATGACCCCTTGTATGTGGGTAAGTTGAATTCCTCGTGAAATATTTTCTAATGAAATAAAATTCAGACTTGCTCCAGCACTTTATATATACCCAAGAATACGTTTAATTGATTTATGTAAGAAGCCGTTCACAATAATTTTGTTTTTCACTTGTGCCGATGCGATTTTTGTGCAACATTTAAGAAAATTTATAAGTGTCCGTCACGTGATCAACACAGTCATGTCACATCACAAAAATGCTTTTTTGTAATACCTTATTCAACTTTCTTTACAACTTAACCGTGTATGTATACATAGATTACAAATTAAGTCAAAACATTGCTCAATATAAAATAGTATATATTTAATGCATATTAAGTCTTCGGACAGCCTTAACCTAGCTGCGTAGATTCCTAAATATACGCGAGGAATTAATTATCGCGTAATTTCGCGAGAAGCATCTCGAAATTAATTTACTGGCTTTTATATTTATTGTACTGAAATTCATTTGGAATCTTTTGATCAACCGCCTACTCGCGAATTATTATTCTCGCGATTCGACGTCATATAGCCATTTCGCTATCTTAAGTATACTAGCGAAAAATAAGAAATCTACAGTACTTTTTTTAATTTCTAATTTACAATGTAAAAGTCTAACATGTAGTATTCTACTTAGAAAAATTATAACAAAGGTATATAAACTAACAATAACTCAAAAAATGTTCAAAACATAGAAAAAAATTTCCAAAATTCCGAAGTGATACCTACTATGTAAGGATGCAGATAAATCTGAAATGATACAAATAAAGACCATGGTTTCATACAGAACACATTTGTATTTCTAGAGAAAAAAATAAAAGTTAGGTAGTATCAAACGAGGCACACCGAATTACTATTCTAGCTTGATTATTTATCTGTTTTTTTTTTTTTTTTTTTTTTTTTTTTTTTTTTTTTTTTTTTTTTTTTTTTTTAATTCCAATGGCAGAACATTTATGCCAAACAATTTTATTCCTTAATGAACAAAAAAAAAAAAAAAAAAAAAAAAAAAAAAAAAATACGGACCATTACACCTTATGTTGACGTCACTCCAAGTTCCGTTCCTTAGGCACTTAACGATTCCGTCTCCCGTCTGATTATATCCGTCTGAGCAGGACAACTTATGTTTGCTACCAAAATCTAAAGCTATGTCAGAACTGAAATTTTTGACGTTCTTTGGAAGGGTAAGGTTCGATGGATGACAGTCTAGAAATGAAAGTATTTTAATTTATTTCATCGAAATATATATGGATGTAAACCATTAAAAATGCAAATTTGAAATTTGTCAGAAACCCAAGGTTTTTTCAGTTTTTTTTTTTTTTTTTCATTTTTCAGTGGCAATGTATTTTCTTGACAATGTGAAAAGCAATCAACTAATCTATGATATGAAATTAATTTCATACAAGTTTTTGAGAAAAAAGATACGTTAGAAAAGCTTCCACGACTTATCAAATTAAAAAAAAAAGTAATACAGATACAGTGGGGAATAAAAGATAGGATTAACCTTATGATATTTCTAATGTTGACTTAAATACAAAACCAATCATTTCACCTTAAGATTCTTACGTTGTTAATTTTTTTTTGAAAAAATATCTTCAAGTTGGCTCAGAGAGAAAGAAAGGGAGAGAAAACAAATCAGACCCTATACCAGCGATTATTACTTTTTTCTAGAATAAATGATCAACGTATATACTCGCCTATAAGTTGGTCCGCTGGAAAGTCGGCTGTATTTGTTTTAGTTTATTTAGGAGGAATTTGCAATTTACTTTCTTATAATTTGGTACAACTTTTTACCAGAATCAGATGACAATTTCATACAAATGCTCTGATGATTTTCTGTGTTTCAAATAATATTTTTGGAAATGAAACCAATTTTTATCTTTTATTCTCAATAAATAATTTTCATATATTAACTCTAATATGTATTTATCTATGTTTCAAGTTATAATTAGGGAATTTAAAGTCTGTTATTCTCAACAGATCAATTTTATTATTATACGTTAATCGTATTGTAGTATACAAAAAAACTACATTTCGCTATCCAGAAAAAAACAATGTTTCGATAACTCGCCTATTGGTTAGGCATAGAATTATGGACCAAAGTCGAACTCCCAAAAATCTATTTTAACGTCTAGTTTCTACGGAAGAAAACCATCTCTTTTCCAGTAATAAATACTTTAGATTCCTAAATATACACGATGAATTAATTATTGTGTATTTTCGCGAGAAGCACCACTGAGGAAATAAAATCACTCGCTTTTATTTTTATGGTGCTGAAATCATGTAAAATCTCCTCTTCAACCCCCTCTTGTGCATTATTGTTCTTGCAATTTGACGTCAAAGAGCCATTCACGGCATTAAGTAACCGTGTAAAATAAAGAATCTACCATATATTCCTTTTAACAGATTAAGCAGTGTAAACTTTCGTTTGTTCAAATTCTATTGATTTTTATTTTAAATTTGCTAAATACAAATCAGGAAAATGCACTTGATGTAACTGAACATACGAAATATTGAATTATACCATGCAGTCGACGAAAGGGCTACTGAAGGGTCACTGAAAGGAGATTGTAAGTAATCTAATAATTCAGTGATCACTCAGAGACCAACTCGAAAGCTGAAAGGCAGATATTTGTACATGGTTTCATTCAGTTATCTTTCAGTTGTTTCTCTTTATTTGATAAAAAAGTATCATTTTTCACTTCACATTTTATCTTACTTTTCCAATTATACTAGAAAATCCTACATGTATGTATTTTAACATTATAAAACATATTTGCTTAAAATTGAAATTAGAAAACAAAATGAATGGCTCTTCTAGAAGTTCATTCATAGTCATACTGATTGGGAGTCAAGTTCCACAAACATTACACAACACTGACATCTACCTTATTCTGTGAAATATTATACAGATATGTCTTAATTATAATAACTGTTGAATTCTGTGAAGAATTCGGTAGATTTCAGAGGCATACTGATTTTTACAAGCGACTATAGTCAGTATAATGACAATTATTGGAGATGTGTATCTGCATTTTCCTGTTGTGAGTTAATCATCCGAGAAATTTCTTTCTTAAAACATCATTATTCTTTACAGTAATTAAACGGTTTTACAGATAAAATTAATATTGTGCCTTGCTCGAAAAGAGGTTCATGCAAAATGTAAGTTCGTATTACATATTTTTACTTACGCGCTATCTCACAATCTGCGATGTGTAGAGCTTTCAAGATACATTTTTCATTGATTTGACATCTTTTGTTCTGGCATTCCTCGGTAATTTCCTTTAATAAAAGTTCTATGAAACAAAATGTCTCTTTCTCTCGTCAGCTAGTTTTACTATTTTTTTAACTAAAATTCCATAGCTTACGTGTATGTATGCATTGCAACTTACCATAGGCCAAGAATCTCGTCGACCAAAGATCCAACCGTCTTCATTAGTCAGCCTTGTATCAGAACTGGTGCCATTTTCATAATTTAGTTCACAAAATAGTGCAGCCCGTCTGTAGTTGAAGGACAGACATCCAGAACGAACCAGGCACTCCTCAGCACAGTCTAATGGACTGACCTGAACAATATTGGTCAGTAATCTTCCTACGAATCGCTTACCCCATTGTAAACTTTCATAGGCATGCTTCAGAGACCCGTTTGCCAGAGTAGAAAGTAAAAATACATATATGAAGCACCCTTTAAGTACTTGCATAATTAAGAAATCTTCCACACTCCAAACTGTTCAAAACTTGCCCATTTATCAGTAAGTTTTGCATCACGTGATTGTTGGTTTGACGAATATCCAGTTAGATTTAGACATAACAATCCAATAAAAATGCGCTTCTTAGAAATTTTGTGATAATCGATTTTCTATATTGTGTTCTAAATAAGAACATAGAAAGATAACACAGATCATGCACATAAAAAGTTATTTATCCTCCTCCATTGTTTCCTTTTGCCTAGATTTGTATTGTATGGTCTGTAAACTTTTCACATCTTGGACCTTTTCTGAAGAAGACTGGGTCAATTTTAACCAAACTTGCTACAAAGCATCTTTGATTGAAGGAGATTCAATTTTGTTCAGATGAAGTGCCTTGCCCTTTTCCAATTGAAGATGAAAAGAATTATATCTAGTGAAAATTGAAAGACATCTTTCATCTTCTTGTCACGAAAAGTTGAAATTTATGGGAAAGCTTCATTACATAGAGTTAATCCAAATTTATTCAAATCGTAACTCCTGGTTGTAGGGTGAGACCAAAACAGACAAGGTTACTTTAAACTTATTTGAGAGGTTTATTACATAGAATAGATTCAAGATTTTTTTTAATAAAGTGTAATCAAAGTTTATATAGGAAAAAGTCCTTTAAAAATCTATTTCTGAAGAACCTCAAAGCCATTATTAGTCATATTTATATGGAAATAGTGTAGATTCGAGTTCAATCAAATCAAAACCCCATGTGGTGAGGATGGGACCACAATGGGCGATCAAGATTTTACGTAGGAATTTATGTGATAAATCTTTAAAAATATTTTTGTCAAGAAAAGCCATTATTAGTCTTATCTATATGGAAATGTCATCGGGTAGTGTAGTTTAAAGTGTGTTCAAATCATTACCCCCTTGCAATTGGTTAGGGTCGGGCTACTATGTGTGATGAAAGTTTTACATGGGAATATCTACTGCAAATCTGAAGATGAAGAACAGAAGGGCCATAGTGACTTCATGGTGCATTGTACATAGCCCATTGACATATTGTTATGCTGAAGATGATTAAAATATTTTTAGATGATTTTCTTTTATTAATTTTCCAAATTTTCACACACAGATCCTTTCTTTTTCTATAAAACAAAGCTATATTTAAAATGTAAAATACTTTTCAAAACGTTTATTTAGAAAAATTAAATCATTGTTTTTTGATCCAATCCTATATATTTAAACAACCCCAGGTGTAAAAATAGCACTTTCTTCAGAAGGTAATAATCATTATCCAACTTGATGTAGAAAAGTATCGAAATTGTGTGCAATTTTTAACATTAAGAAGTGATTGTGAGCTATTTATTTCTTTACAAAAGGATTTTGAGTATGATTTGAAATGGATTATACCAGTGCGTTAATTTAATAAATACATGTAGTATCAATTAGTGAAACAGCTTTACCTAGAATCTGCAACTTTTATATGGGCTTGTTGACATCATTGACGCTCCCCTGATTAAGTGAACCCTATTAATTAAGTTTAAATAGATGTAAATGAATGTCTACAGTGTACATGTACCTTTACATTTTGATAGTAGAGTAATTGACACAACAAATTCTGACGTATTAACGACATACACTATACACATGCCCAAATTAGTTTCAAACGAATCTTTAAAATAATAATTATCATTTAAAAAAAACTTACCGTTGTAAATATAGAGCTGAACATCTCTAGATTTCCTTTGATTTTTTTTTCCTTTTGAACTCCTTGTTCATTGCAGCTAAACCAAAAAATCCTGTAAAATTGTAAGAACATTTCTACATTCATTAAGGCACAAAAGAATTTGTTAAATTTAAGCTAAGTGTTCATAGTAGAATCCATTTCTTTCATAAATCTATAAACATGTACCAGGCAGAAGCAAACTACAATAGAGACAAGGGAGAAAATGTATTGACAAACCCTTCCCTCAGATGCAAAAATTCAGCAAGATATTTATTCGGATTACACGATGTTTAATGCATATTGATCACATATAATACAACCTAAATTTTCCCAAAACGTGGCTTTAACACTTCAGACTCTCTTGTTTTATATCCTTAACTGCGTAGATCTGAATATTATGTTTGTTTGTTTAAATAAATTTGGACAAATTCTGCGTTACATTATAATGACTTTTGTCTCCACTGTAAAAGATGGTACACCATAAGTAATAAATTTGTGCTGTGTACCTTGTTAAACACCGTACACTATTATTTATTGAAAGTCTAAGTCTAAATGTTCACTATGGCACATTCGTATAAAGTGATTTTTTCCTGATATATAATCCATTTTGTGTGTTCAGTTATATGAGTTGCATGCCCGAATCTCTCTATCTTTAGCTTAAAATAGCTATAATTATTAACAAAGTACTCTGGTATATTTCTGTGATATTGAGGTATAATATTGATAATTCATAATCAGATAGACTGAACGAGAAGTGTCTCTCAGAAAAGTCAACAATTCATATTAAATCTATTTTATTCTAAAAAGAACAAATTACGATGCAGAATTAATATTTAAAAGCATTAGCTATGTAAATATATTCACAAATTGATCTGAAGATACTCTTCACCAACGTTCACCATATGTTATACACATTGAAAATATATAATTATTGATTAATTTCGAAAAGTATAGGTAAAGTTACCCAAAAAAATCAATATCATAATATGATACAAGTAGTCGATCGATCGATCGATCGATCGATCGAGAGAGAGAGAGAGATTGTTTATGCATGTGAGTTTCTTTTCGTACATTCTATTAAATTTTCCTTTACATCCTTATTCTTCCTTCAAACACAATTACAAAAATTTCAAATACTAGTATATATTCGGCAAATTCCCTATTCCGTTGAAGATTTGTAAAATTAAGTGCAAGTACATTTATATTATTGTTTCTAGAAGGGGAACATTTCTTATGTAACGTATCTAAAAGCATATTAAACCTTTATGTTATTCATTTTGCTTTCACTCATCGTTAGTCATCAATAACCATTTTTCTTCTCTTCAATTTTCACTTTTATTATTTTATTTTTCAAATACTATAAACTTATGTCTAAATATTACGTTGGATGATTTATATTATGATAATATAGTAGTAGAGAAATTAACAGAGTTTTAAACATTTCGGAAATTCTATGGTCGACACAATGATCTTATATTTGTAAATATAATCTGCTGTTAGGTCGAATGTTAATGATTAATTACGTCTTTCATACTAATTGTCAGGCCATATTGAATTCTGATTTCTCCGTTTACCCGATTATGACAAGATGAGACCGGTAATCCTCCGTGGCACCTGATCCGACCTCTGATATTTTCAGAATTTTCAGATGATTTATTTGCAATTTTTTCATTGGATATTTGAGCATGATCACATTTGGTTATCTTCACATTTCACTCAAAATTGAATCTCTGAAAGACTAAAAATTAAAATAGATGATTTTAAAATCAGGTTAATCTTGTTATATCAACACGCGATGAAAACCCTATAATATATTAAATTGTGTACAATTTGATTGCTTCTTGTTCGTCAATATCCATTCTGGCTATTGAGTGAACAAAATTAGCAGTATGATAGATAATTAAAGGAAATATATTTTTATCTTCAAAGCAATAAGAAACACATGATGCATTATGAACCATATTACTAAATAAACTAAATACATGTATAACTGGCTTCTACATAAAGATTTTTTTTTATTTAAAAGCATAGGTAGATTTCTCCTTGCATAAAACAAAGAAGTATCGGACAAATGAGAAATGAGTGTGGCATTTTAAAATTTTATCTATCTATCTATCTATCTATCTATCTATCTATCTATCTATCTATCTATCTATCTATCTATCTTTATCTGAAACATTTATTATATTACATGTATCTCGGACTATTATTATTCAAGTATGAAATCACGTAATTTGGTATTAAATGAAAATGATGAGTTAATACAGGATATTGAATGCTTATTTAGTAGAAACGTATCCCGTTTTGAGATATGGAGTATCCTGCTAAAAGCTATATAACATCTGTGAGATTGTTACACGTTGCATCTAATTACATTTGACACATTTGCTTAAATGGTGATGTCCAAATCTTCTTTATTTTTTTAGCGTTTCCATGTTTTATTGCTAAACTACATGCAAAACTTCATTCAGTGATGCAATATAATGAAACGAAGTGAATATAACAAAAAATGTAGAATGGTATGCTACCTTCAACAGTGGTTTACTATAAATTGCACACAATAGTATGTTTTTCTATTTTACCTTTTTCCTCTAATTAGATTAAATTAAACTAGATTAAATTAATTACTAAATTAAATTATAATTTATTTTAAATTGCTCAATTAGGATTTATTTTCTAAAATTCTTTTCACACCTGATCCTTATGACAGGAACATTGTATTCTCCCTTCAAACAAGTGGGAATCATTGTTCCCCGCCTATTGTAGGCCTTTCAACTAATTTTTCAAGTTGCACATATGGTAAAAAACAGTTGATAGCTAGATTTGTAGGTACATGAAATTCTCTAAAGAAGATTATAAACTATACATACCTTTAATTAAATCATAAAAAATTAATTATTAATATTTGATTTGTAAGATGTTGTGTTTTAAGGACAGGTAACTGAAGTGTAAAAAAACGACCAACAAAGTGCCGATTTTTGAGTTATTGTTTATAGGAATGACATATAGGCTGCTTCAATTGGTATTGTTACGTTCACAAAAGGGTTCCTTATATTCTTTGGTACACAAAAGGGTTGACCAAAACAAGGAGAATGTCTTCACTCTATACCTGGAATAACGAGATCAATGAATGGGGAATGGACTATATTCAAGATTTTTAACTCTTTCCGACAGTTGTTATGAAGAAGAAAATATAATGCCATGTTTTTTGTGTGTGTGTGCATTGTTGTGCTTCATCTATAAAGATATATATTTCTACAATTAAATGCAACAATAAAATATCTTATTCTTTTCA